ACACACACACACAACTGTGCACAGTTTGAATACCTCTGACCTATAGTGTACGCGACCTTCGTCACTACTGAGATTGTCAATCGTCATCGTCAATGCGGACAAAAATATTAACCCAAAGATTATTGCAGTATGTTTTGATTTAGAAAACGTAATTAATTTACCCGAGACAAATGTTGGTTACACTTTTTATAAAAAAAAACTAAATGCATATAATATGAGTGTTCATGTAGGCTATAACACGTTTGGGCACTACGTAAAATGTAAAATGTTTGTTTGTTTGTTACCTAACCTTTGTTTAAAAAGTATACCTATAAAATATGTACATACATGCATAATATATTATATATACAATTATACATCTATATAAAAATAATATAGGTGACATATAGGTAAGTATTTAGTATATACTGTATATCTTTATATACCTTTAATCCAACGCGATGGTAGTGGCGCGAATCTAAATAAAAAAAAAGYGAATCGGCCACTACYATTCTACCGTAGCACTTTGCACGAGCACGATAATAATAACCACATTCGGGACTTCTTACGATAAGTATAAATATTATAAGAGAAAGCTATAAAATGCGTAATCACAGACGTTATCGAGGTTTTAATTACGTAAAACTACCATTTACTAGACATGTGTAGTCAACTTGTTGCTCTTAAATTTGAAACATTGTTGGCAACTCATTATATAAAAGTAAATAAATCTTATAAAATTCAAATCTGAAATAGCACATGCACTACTATTGTCTGGGATAAATAAATCTAATACTCGTAAAAGTGGTAGACATTTGTCAACARCACCACCAAAACAAAAAATAAAAAAATTTGCCCCTAGATCTGTGGTTTGCCCCTAGATCTATGGATGATACCTAAGGTATAACGAAATTGCACATTGGCCAATTCCTATTGATAAGAAACAACGATGTACACATTTCATAAACACATATTCCACTATGACATGTAATAAATGTAACTGCATCTCTGGTCAACAAAAAATGGAATATGTTTTATGCTGTTCATCATAAATACTCGTAAATATAAAAAAAATTAATCATATAGTTAAATATACTATTTTGTTTATATTATATTAAGCTGTTGAAATTAATTTTGTTTTATAAAATTATGTATTAAAAAGGAAAACTTATTAGACTAAGGTTGACAATCCCTAGGTTTTTTATTTTTAAAKTTGTTTTTTCGAATTTTAAGCTATTGATTTTTATATACTAAAATGTGTACTTAAAGAAAAGAGAAGTTGATTTTTATTTGGTTTTATAATTTAATAAAATATAATAGATAAATTATGTTTAATTTTAATAAAATAAAATTTGCTTTTGAAATTGTTTAATAAATGTGTTAGTTATMCACCCAGTGATTATTATATTTATTATATTGGTACTTAAGTCATCTCTGGGCCTGAAAGGGTAAAAATATTTTGCTTTGTAATAAAGAAATAAAAATGGATGCTGATAAAATAAATAAAACTTAAATTTRTGTATAATAACAATACTAAAAGTATAAAATATTTTTTTTTTTTTGTACCTAATTTAAATACAATTAATAATTATGTACCAATAATATTTTCAAAAATATTAATGGCTTTTAAACTATTGAGTATTATTCAATAAAAGAATCACATAKTTTATGTATTTTTTAGTCAAATAATAGCTCAATAATTAATATATATCGGAGAATTTACCTTGCAATTATACATTTACTCGATACCCGTGCACTTTCATCTGTGTTTTCTATGTGGTCATACAATGCCTCTCCACTAGTTGATTTTAAAATAATGTCTTCATCTGATTCTTCCATATTATATTTAAAAAAAATGTAATTATTATAAATACACCGGTGTTTTTGTAAGTCCACTAACTAAACTATTCAAGATTATTATTTTTTTGACGGATAAATAAGATAACTAGGGAAACTGTTTATTACCATTATTATTGATTATTTATATGCCAAACAGTTAAAAAATATAACTATAGATCAATCAAACAAGATGAACAAAAGTTTTTAGAAATTATCTTACACGATAGTACCTACAGTTAATGAATAGAACGTAGGTATTTTTGTTTTATATTTAWTGAATTACTTGATTAAGAACATATATCATCTTAACTTAGATAAAACCATTTTTTAATGATCCTGTGACAAAAAAATTCATATTTTTCTGGATCCAGCTCATATGTTAAAGCCGTGTCGTAACACTCTAGGAAAAATGGAAAAACTTTATTATCACTATAACAATAAAATAAAATAAAATTATATTCAAAACTTAGTGATCTTCAGGAAAAGTCTAACCTTCATGCGGGCTGCAAAATTAGACAACTCGATATCAATTATTATAAGCAAAAAAATAAAAGTGAAATTTGTCTGTCAACGTTTTAGTAATAGCGTTACAGATGCATTTGAGGTTTGTTCTAATGTGTTGAAAATTGAAGGTTTTGATGATACTGAATCTTCCATTATATTTTGTAAGACATTGTCGCGGTCGTTATCGCAACGACCGCGGCGTCTCTATCGACGTCCGCGAGATCGCGACCGACAACCGGTCTGGCCGCCGCCTGCGGCACGGCCGCCGGCCCGGCCAGCGGCGGTGACGGCGGCGACAGCTTTTAGCCGGACCGCCGTCAACGTCGTACGCAGTGACAATCGTAATATATATATATATAGTATTCGGATAATAAACGTGTGTGTCTAAATAATACGTTGTAGTATTTATTTATTTAAGTTCCAAACCGTTCCTACACCTACAACATCAAATAACATTTTTGATTTTCTTAATGCAAGAAATTTCCTAAGTAAAGGAACATACAAAATGTAATTTAAGATAAACAATGAGCTTAATATCAAACATTTTACTGGAAAGTAATAATTATTTTAAAGGACTGAAAGTTATAATTAAGGGTAAATGAAAACCACTTGTGCAAATTCATAGGAAGWCGGGTTTGTTGGACTTAAGGCATGTATTACAAGTGTATAGAATTTTTACTATGATGTAATAAAGACAACATTTTTAGATTTTTTCTTAACTTATTAATTTTCTAAAGACAATCTGGAGATGTTATTCTCAAATGTAAGATCAATGTGTGGGTTTAACAATAACCTCCACCTATTCAGTTTGAAGCAGCTTACAAACGTTTGATTGAGCACGTTTAATTAAAGTATCTTTTCAAGTCAACAGTACTGTTCAACAGAGCCGTATCGAGCCATTTTTTATAATGAGGCAGAACTGAAGCAATTCACCCTCTGGGTTTTGGGATTGACACACTTACAGMTTTTATCAATGATGCATTGCAATAGCCATCACTTCAACCAGAAATGGTTGTTGTTATCTGGTCCTCCAGGTTGGGGTTAGGCACAGGGTTAACAACCCTGCCTTGTAAAATAACACTTCTTGTGAGACCATCACGGAATCAGCCTCGGACACAGATAAATGGAATTAAGACTGGACACGGAATTAGGAAAACTGGAATTAAGATCGTGACCGGGAACACACTAAGCCTTTATCGAACTGGAGCCTGCCAAAATCTTACTGATGTGTTAGACACGTATGGAATACAGATAATAGCCCTTCAAGAGATAAAATGGCCAGGAAAAGGTCAGCTAAAAGTAGGGAAGTACATAGTGTATTTCTCTRGCATGGAAGAAGTACACGCCTTTGGACGTGGTTTTGCTGTGCATGAATCATTGGAACCATACGTAAAATAATTCAATCCAATATCGGAAAGGATAACCTTACTACGAGTAGAYACGAAATCACTGAATATAAGATTAGTATGCGTACACGCACCAACAGAAACAGGGGAAGAGAACATGAAGGATGTTTTCTATGAAGATCTGTCGCAAATATATGATAAACTGCCAGGAAATGTAATCAAACTCGTAATAGGTGATCTGAATGCCAAGTGTGGAAAAGAAACACATTTTATRCCAATGATAGGGAAAGAAAGTTTACACGAAACAAGTAATGGAAATGGACTTAGACTTATATCCTTCGCAGCCGCAAAAGATATGATAATAAGCAGCACAACTTTTCCACACAAAACCATACATAAGGCCACTTGGAAATCACCTGACGGCACAACTTGCAACCAGATAGATCATATACTTGTTCAAAAAAGATTTAGGTCGTGCATTAAAGACATACGTAGTTTCAGAGGAGCTGATTGCGACTCAGATCATTTCTTACTGGTAGCAAAGTTTAGGTTAATGATCCAGAGTGACAAGAGTTTAGTGAATAAGAATAGTACAAAAAGTACAACAGAAATACATAAAATATGTAGGAGAATATGTAAAAAATGTAAAACTTAATGACATGGATGAAGACTGGGTTAGAACTAGCAAAGCAGTTAAAGCAATTGCAATGGAACACATAGAGAAAATAAAATGTTCAAAGAAAAAATGGTATAACGAAGAATGCCGACAAGCAGTAGAGAGACGACGGATAGCCCGAGAAAAATTCATCAGTGTAGACAGTATAGACAATATAATCACAAGAGAGCTTTATACTTTAGAGAGGAAAAACTGTAAACGAATCATTCAGAGAGAGAAGAGGAAGTATCTCAATGAGATATTAAAAGAAGCGGAGAAAAATCACTCACAGGGTAAGGCCAGACACTTTTTCGGGACGATAAAACAGAACAAGTCTTTCAACTCAAGCCTGAAAATCATCAGAAATCTTAACAATGATGTAATCATGGATCCTAAAGAAAAAGCGGCAAGGTGGAAAGAATATTTTATTGAACTATTAAATGCAGATAGCCCAGACAATATTACGATTAGGGAAACACATTATGGAGCTGAACCAATGATAAATGAATTSAYCGAAGAAAAAACATACAAAGCAATAGAACCTCAAGAATTAGAAAGCGCCAGGATCTGATGGAATACCAGGTGAGCTCATCAAGTACGGTGGAAAAGAAATGCATTATTTCATGTTTAGAATATGTCAGAAGATATGGAAAGACGAACATTTGCCAACAACTTGGAATGAAGCTGTAATCATACCTTTWCATAAAAAAGGCGACAAAACAAAGTGCGAAAATTATAGAGGAATATCCCTTCTGAACTCAGCCTACAAAGTATTTGCGAAGATTCTATTAAACAGGCTAACACCTTACGTGGAAGAAAATCTAGGAAGATATCAGTGTGGATTCCRAAAGGGAAGATCAACGATTGAACAGCTGTCAGTTATAGGTCAGCTAATAGAAAAAAAGTACGAGTACCGCCAAAACATCTGGAAACTTTTTGTATTTCTATGATCTATGGTAAGATCTTACACTTAATAGCATTAATGATAAGTTTAAAAATTAAATAATCATTATTGGAATTAACGAACTAAGCATATAATTTACTGGCATTGCACATAATACATGAATAATAGAATCAAACGTTCAAGTATTAGAATAAATGTAAAATTTACCATCAATCTGGACACTTTTAAGGTTTGAGCGGTTTCCATTTTTAAGGATTCCAATTACGGGAGATTTTGTTTTTCTGGAATCATTATAGAACAATTTATATTGTTGGATCTTTTTGTAAATAATTTGATCTCTTTTTATTTTTTTCTGTCCCACCTCTCCACTTTTCTTCTGCGTTTAGCTCATTTCTTGTATGATAGGATGACTTGCTATTACATTGCTGACAAATCCGTTTCTCACCAAGTCCTTCTTCCTCAAGTATACTTTAAAAACATCCATCTATTATGTGCACAGCTTTCTTACATAAGTCACATATATGTGCACCGGTTGGTTTATGACCGTTAATACAAACCATACAAATGTATTCATTTTCAGTATACAATGTATATATTGGCTAGTTTTCATCATGATGTAAGTATTGTACTTGACATAAATTATCTTCAGTTTGAAATACTTTATTTTCATCAACATTTATCGTACTTACATTTTCATCTACAGCTTCCAATTGTCCATTCTCATAAAATTGCATTTGGGCATTTTCTCCTAACTCCATTTGTAATCTTTCATCAACATTTTCGTCATCATTATTTTCTTGATTATTAATATCTGATGCAAATAAGTTAATTGTACCTGTAAAGGAGTTGATGTGGGTTGTTAAAAATCGATCAATTCTTAAAGGAAGTGTAGTATGTTTAAAAACCCTCTTCTTTAAGTCATTGAGTTGACTTTCAGATGATGCACTTGTTTGTGTAATATTACCAAAACCAAAAAAAGGAATAATCACAGCACTGTCCAACATGGCAAAAGCTTACAAAATTGCAAAAATCTTTTTACAATTTTAATATTGTGTTGATGGATATCTCGATCTCCGTGATCATGTATTTTGGATAAATCAATACAAGTATTATAAAAAAGTATTCTGGATCAGAAGTTAAAATATTTATATCTGAATCTGTTTCACACTCCTTTAGTTCCAAAATTTCATCATTATTATGGTCATTAGRAATATCTTCAATTGATGTCATTTTTATTATTAATTCAATTTTTATACTGTTCACATAAGTTCAATTACAACAAAGCCACAATAAAAATTGATTTCAGCAAATACTTTATTGTTTCAAAATCTGTTGATTGAATAACAAGAGCAATCGATCGGAGATAGAAATTTTCAATTCTATATGAAGATGTCTTGAATTCTGGCCATGCGCTTAATAACTTCATTATATGGTTAAAATCGTTCCTGATCATAGTTGTTGGAAGTAGATACTTATTATCACCGATAATCCAAGATGAACATACATCTAAATACATATTAAGTGAACTATACTTTGTAAATTATTTCACTGACGCTGACATTAATGCCAAAGATTGACTACAATTTTTGGGCAAGGTGTACAATCTTTAATCCATTCTTGTAACCAATGACATATACTATTAGTATCATGACGCTCAGATAACATATGAGCTACTCCATATTGTCTTTTTATAGTATGATCCATAACAACAACTTCGTATAAAAAAAGATATTCGCCGTTTTCCGACCAGAAATAAGTACAGGGTGCTTACACGCTGTACTACTCCTCCGGTTATATCAATACTAATAACTGAGTTGACATAATAATTATTTGCCATTTGGTTAGTATATAAATCCACCGGGAGCGCTCTATGATCTTAGGCATAGATTAAACATACACTAGATAGCCCACTGCCATACAGAATATGGAAACACGTCAATTAGTAAAGCATGGTGCCAATAGATAGCGCCAGTGATGTCAATGTAAAAAAAATTCTATATTTGTGTATAGCCCTGAATGGCACGCGTCGTTGTTTAGAATTTTAGATTAAAATAAACAGTAATAAGAAATAATATTATTTATAACTAGCAAGCTACTAATGAAGTAATAAATTAGCTTTAGATTCTGCTGTACTGCTGTTGCATTTAAGCGTGTTAGTAACGTATTAGTTTTGTCTGCATTGTACCTACTTTTTACGTAGCTTTTTCATTCTCATAATACCTACCAATCGATAATGTCTGTTGCACGTGGCAATAAATGTTGCATTTTTAACTGTGGAAAGAGTCCTCGAAATCATCCCAATTTAAAACTATACCGTTTTCCTAAAAATGTCAATAGATCAAGACAATGGATCTGTAAATCAGGTATTAGCATAAACCTATACACTTACAGGCCCTAAAATTGTGTACACTATGGGTCTACGGCCTATGTGTGTCTGTAACAAAATTTGTGTGGTACTAAATGTGAAGTGTGTACTACTGTCTACTATAGGTATTTGAAAGTGTGTAGCAAACTAGCAAATAATATTGGTTTTTTTATGATTCTGAAAATCATTCTTCCCCTGCAATCCGTCATGATATAGGTCGTTGATCATATC